TCCAAAACAATGCTGTTTTCAGGGGCACCCAACGACGGTTTCCTCCTAAAGACATTAAAACACTTTTTAGGCTATCCAGAGTACTTTTAGATCTCTAGGAACTGCATTTTAAGCGGCGCTATAAAATCTGGTCCTGTTCAGTCATCCTAGGGGAGCTTGAGTCTTTTCGGAATTACAAGGGCTTCAGTATTATTTTACCGAATATTTTAGATGCAATGTAACTTATTACGAAAGTGAGATTTTTTCTGACTCCTCTCTCCATCACATTTTTGAATCCGAAATCCAAAAACAGCCTAACCTGGGGAGTGAAATGTGAAAAATCAAACCTAAGAAAATCGTAGGGAATTTATTAGATAAGTTTCGAAAAAGGTAACGTGAATTTAATGGTCATCTAGAAATTTTTAGCCCTCCTCGAGCTATAGAAAATTCTAGGCAATATTTGCTTTTGCGGAAAGATATTTTACATAAGACAGTAGTTGGGTGCCCTGTGTTTTCACTTACTTTTGTTACAATTGTGCGTCTTCCCTTGATTCTACGTAGCGGTTAAACAGATGGCACGTGAACGTGATTGAAAATATTCATTCTTCGAAGCTGACTGAAAGCTGAATTTATGTTGAAAAACAAATATTAAAACTGGCGTCTCCGTGGCCTGCGATTTACCCGAGGTGACTCCTGGATGTCCTCATGACGTCCCTTGATGTCCGATGGTGTTTGGAGGTTTCGTGACAACAAGTGAATTCGGCTCAATAATTGTCAATTTATCTGTGACACCATATTGTGTGAAAAGTGAATTAATATGTTCAGACGAAACTCCGCCACCGAATTTCACCTCTAAAACCCCGCATTTTCATACCCTTATTATAGGCCTTCGAGGCCAAGGCTTAAGTCCGATTCAAAGAACTCCTTCTATATAATGTGAAGTATATATGAAATAATTCATTTTTGAAGCCCTGATTTTTTTTCAGGCTTCTTCTTTCCAATTGCTTAAATTGGAAAAATTTACTGCGATGATCATTCTTCACCTTCCTTCTATATAGTTGCATTGAACTTTACATAGTGATGACACAGTGATTTCCATATGAATAAATGGAACCCTGGAACCACAGGATTAACAAGTCATCGTTTGGTGACGGCAACGAAATGTCATCAAAACGAGAGATTCACATGATGAGTTGTTTTTTTCACTTTCTCGCTCGTTCGTGGCCGTTGTGGTTGCTTGAAGACCTAAGTGTATCGCAAGGTCCCTTTTTCAGCGTTGAGTGGGCGCGGAGGATCACGCGATCACAGCCTCGTTCTGAGTGTCTGTCTTTACCCTTCTCTTTATATAGGGGACGGAAAAAGAGAGGCCCTGGGACTAGGTTGCGCACTTTGTCGCGGAAACTCATTCAAATACGAACGTGAGGGTTCTGGAAACTAGGAAATGGTCTGTTTCCTAAGTGACCTTTGCCAGCTGATGAAGTAAGGCACCTCAGTCAGTCGACTTTGAACGCGCCATTACTTAACGAAGAAAAACCCGTCAAACATGTAGTAGCTTTCAAGGCCATACCAACCAGTGGCCACATTACTCAGTGCTTCAGATGTGGACCTTCCCGCTGGTGGTGTTAAGGAAATTACAAGGAAGGGACATCCTGGTCAATACCTAGTCACCCAGTATCAAACCAGTATATTACGTCGTTAGCCCAGGATTTACCTCGCGTTGGTCCGGCTAAAGGATATTGAAAAACTGGTTGAAGATTTATCATTAATAGCTAATATGTATTCTTCCTTCTATTAATCAGAGACCTATTAAAATTTAAATAGGCGCTTATATTTTTTTAAAGGCCCTTTTAGAGGGGCTTATTTTTGGAGGGGCTTATATACGGAGGGGAATTTGCGTTTCAAATCGATTGAGCTAGCCTTATAGTAGGAAGGAAGTTTACCGTTTTTGCTTTGTTTTTCTTTGTATTTAAGGGAAATTTCCAAGTACAAGCCCCCCGGGGGGCTTATTTTTGGAGGGGCGATTTAACGGAGGGTTTTTTGCGTTACGAGTCTGGGGGGGTTTATATTTGCAGGGCTTATTTTCGGAATTTTACGGTATAAGTACTGGACGGAAATAAATGTTGTAACTCAAAATGAAATTCAGAATAAAAAAATTTTCCCCTGGCTGATTCTCAATTCCTTTGTTTCCTGGCTCCAATAATCCGTGGTCATGAATAATAACGGCTAAGAGCAAAAAAATGAGATTTTTCCTAGATTTAAGCCATTTTATCCCGAATTTCATTTTAATCTACAACATACCGGGTATATTTTGTATTGCCTCGCCGTCTGATGTGACGTGCAGGTTTAATTTCTTGTCAACCAATCAGGATTGAGACCAACCTCGTCCCCAGGGCCAACTTTCACCTGCATGAGCGTACTTACCGATCATTGGGGACCTTACGAAACTACTACGACGACGGTAACAGGAACGTCGAAAAAAGCGACAGGTTTAGTGAGCAAAACAAAGCTCTGCACCTATATCATGCTTTCTTGTACATTTCTTTACCGTTCCCGCACAACCACGCTAAGTTTACTGGAGAACAGCAACAGCAAGGCGATAAATTCTACCATGTTTTTCTGGACGCGGGCGCGGTCCCCTCTCTTCAACTCCAACCCTAATTCCCTACTTTTAAGTAGCAGGACGACTTGTGATCATCGCGCAATAGTTTGAAAGGGACGTTTTCAGCGACGTTTTCATGGACGTCGCCGTTGTCGGATCTAACGTTCCTATTCTCGTCTCCGGAACCCCTCTGTTCTTTTAGGCCACGTGGTATTTGAAACGTTGGTTATAAATAGCCGAGTGGCTCAATCTTTCCGAGTGGATTGTATGCGCATATTTTGATTGGCAAAAGAAATGTTTCTGTTTAGAACACTCCTTTCGTAGCAAGCACTATTCAATGAAGTTAAAGAAACCTCGCGCGCTCTAAAAAGCTAGACTACCATTCTCAACTTCGTTTGCAGCGCTTCCACGGACAAGAGCAAAAGAGGTCTCAGCTTATATTGTGACACAAAGTGAGATCTGGGTGAGATCAGATGCGTCCCGGCCTTCGTAACCAACTCAACTCGACTCATGTAAGAAACCCCAAGACAGTCTTGGACTCTGGACTCCACGCCGTGGATTCCGGATTCCAGTAATTGGCCGTGGAATTCAGGACTCCAGTAACTGGATTCGAGATTCTTTGTCAATGGAACTTGGATTCCGGATTGCAATCGTTAGATGGATTCAGGATTCCTTGAGCTGCATTCCGGATTCCAAAGCCCAGGATTCCAGGTTCCACAAACAAAAATTTCCCTGATCCGGAGTCGGGATTCCTTTACGTGGGGCGAGCGATCCTTTTGATGTTACTACCCAATAAAGGACTTGTTTGATTGATTTATCTAAAAGCAGAAATTATCGTTCCAACAAACCATAAATTAAAAATTTACAAATTCAGTCAGCCGCAGTCCCCTCCCCTAGCACCCGTTACCACAGCAGAGGAGACTAGCCCTCTCTATTAACTGTGATATGACTTAGACTCCAATCGTGAGTGACGTATTGGATCACGCCTCCAAGCATATCACTTTTATAAATAGAAAACGTATTTAAATAGTAAACTATGTTCAACATCACATTGTTCAGATAAAATGTACACAATTTTCAAGCACGAACTAACTCTCGTAGCCAAGTAACCGCTTCTCGTGTAATTCAGTATTTCCCTCCGCGGCTCGAGCATCTACGTGATTCTTCATCCTCCAGACATTGCCCAATTCTTTCCTTTTTCGCAATAGGAAATATAACTTCGTGAAAATTCCGATCGACTTCAAGGAAACGTCCTCTAGGATGTTCTTTATTCTTCAGCTTGACAGCAGAGAATTGGCTGTCAACCGTGGCCTTGTCGAAGAGATTTTTGGTACAAGGTTTGCTATTCAAGTCTGTAACAGAAGACAAATTAAATGTTAGTTTTCTGAGGTGTAAATAGAACGATGCGTCCAGAAATTTATTAGACCTATAGGGACGTCCTTTTCTTTTAAAACGCCTGGAGTACAATGAGATGGTTTTCATCCATAGTTGGAAATTGGATGCTAGACTGTCCAATTGAAAAAAAGAGACGCAGTACTGTAGAAGATGGAAGGAATAATAACAGCGGCAATAATCAAGAGAAAAAGAACTTCCTGGAGCGAAGGTCGAGTTTGCGCACTCCCCTTTCTCGGGCTCCACACCCGGAGAAAGAAGAGGGTGTGATTCAAACAAGAAACAGAAGTTACAAAGCGGACAAGTAACGCGTGGTGAAAAATAATAGAAAGTAAATGTGCTACTAGCCATATATGCTCTCTTACCCTCCAATAGTGCGTCCTCTTTATATTACAATCTAAGAAGATGGGCTGTATAAATCTGTAATTTGACATAAGTCCTTTGAAACATATTGTAAAATCCTCACCCAGCAACGAAAAAATCTGCTGTGATTACTTGCAACATTTCTTCTTGTTGGGTTGTTCTGGAACAAGGTTCAGCACACTCTGCATTAACTCATCTTCACGCACTTGCAACATTCTGAAGATAAATGCGATGAAAGGGTTAGAACTTTCGAGTCTATCCGAAAAATATTCACTTTTCTTTAGCTGCTTCATTTAAGTAAATCTCAACTGACATAACAACTAAAGTGGCTTAGCTTTCAGATGACTGTGATAAAATCTGAACCACGATAACCACTCTGGCCTATCAATGACGCGAATATTTTACATCTTCGGGCCACAGGACTGGTTGGCTGATAAAGGCTATAGGCTATACTAGCCTGGGAATTTTCCCGGATTCGTGACAAATCCGAAAAGTTCGGTACCGGAGTCGTCTTGCCTCCCCGAGAGTGAAAAAATGGCTTTTTCCCAAGGTCCATGCTACGTAATGGAAGAGAAAAGTTTTCGCACATCTAATGTAAGTTGTTGGTTACTTACTTGGAAAATTCTGCCATCGATTCTTGGATATTGTAACCGGTTTTAGCGCTTGTTTCTGTATACAAGGCTTTGTACTCCTATAAAACAACAAACAGTGTCAACTGCAGTACTTAAAACAGTAATACTAAGTTGGAAATAGCAATACAAGCCAAGTAGTCGACATTTGTTTCCACCAAATTTGAGGAACCCAACTGATTAATAAAAAAGTCGATAAACAGTAACAATGAGGAGGAAATAAAAAAGCGTCCAAGTTTCCCGCAGTGTTTATTTCCCTTGATTAGCTTTGCCTATCATCAAAGACTTGAAGAGCCTGTGTCACTGAAGGTTTGCCTATTTTGCTTAATTTTGCCAATCGCTCGCTAGTAATTTAACGTCAGCAAAGAAATAGCTCCTAAATGAGAAAATCACAGCCTCATAACAAACACGCATATCTCCTGATTTAAACAGATCACAAACAAACAGGTTGGAATGCACGTATTTAAAAGTCCAAAATTCAAACCACTTTGTTCTTCTTAAATTTTGTCCTTCCTTGGCTTCTTTTGAATTGGCTTTGTTCCTTTACTTCCTTAACAATGTTTTTCAAGGGTTATTTTTCTATTTCGCTCAGTTTGGCGGTCAGGTCTTTATGGCCGAATTTGGCTAAACTGCATAAGTAACCAGAGGACGGCAGTGTAAAAGCACTATAGTTGGTACTTATGCGACACAGGTCGCCAAATACGTTTCTCGGACAACGCCGTCGTGCAAGCACAGTTCAACCGACATTCCGAAATATTCCGTTAAGTTATCAAAGACATGCATTATTCATACCTCTGCTAATTTCTTTCCATTTTGAGTTGTAACTGGTCTCTCGCTATCTTCCTCGTAGAGATCAACCTTGTTACCAACGATCATAATCGCTGTTCCATCGTCTGTTCCTTCCTGCACAAAGGAAAAAGAAAACAGTTTCAAAACTCTAAGCCGTAATATCAATATGCATACTTCTCATACTGTTCCCTGCACAGTTTTTATGGTACTGGCCCTGGCTGTTGAAACACTGGATAGGACTATCCACCGGATAAATCACTATCCAGCGGATAAGTATTATAAACTCTTTGAACAACTGGGGCCTGATGGATAGAATCTGTTTCATAATCAATCGTCATTACGACCTTGATGTTTGAGTAAAACATGTTGTTTAAAAAATGCAATCTGATGCTTGTCACTTCAGTCAAACTTTCTTAATACGGACTGATACAAGAGGGACAGTGCCAAGTGTCCACATTGACGTATACGTACAGAGGTATAAATTGTATAAAGTTTGGTATTTTGGGATCAAGGGGACTGCCATAATAGAGAGGCTTCCTCTATCACCAGTCCCTGCTCGTTTTTCGCATTAGTCTTCGCGATCTCCACACATTACTATCTTAGAGGCCTACAACAGGTTAAATAGAGAGGAGTCAGAGAAGAGTTTTCGGATTGTAAAATTACCCTTGGATGGTCTCGTTGGAAGTCATAACTACTGAACTGGGATTTATGCTTTGAACTGAATCTACATCCACACTTTTTGACCAATAGAGGCCATTTTGGTGGTCTATACAATAAAATTTCTCTCGACAAATTTTTGATAAATAATGGAGTTTAGTTATGCCTTGGCTCTTCCCCACCAATAGGGCCGAAACCAGCAATTCGAGAGGTAGGGACTGTATGTCATTGGTATCTTTGGGACCAAATGAACCGTCTGTAATGGAGAGGCGAGGATAGTATTATCGAGATTTCCGGTAGGAAAAGTTCCACTGTAACCGACTAGCTTGGAAGTTCAAGAAACACAGGCCTATAAGAGTACTATGAAATCGAGAAACTTTTTTGTTTGCTTGTTGCTCTTGTTTTAAACATCTTATTACCTCGACACTTATCATCCAGTTCTTGATGTTTAAAAAGGACGTCTCCATGGTAACATCATAAAATACAATGACACCATCTGCCTTTCTAAAATATTGTTTTGTGATACTTCGGAATCTGCAACGTAGATAAGAGAAGAAGAAATTTAATTTGTTTCATAATAACTCGACTGGATCTCAAAGACCTTTGTCACATTTTGATAGGAATCTGAGTATCAACAACGACGGCGGCAGCGAAACGTCGCTAAAACAAAGAAATTGTGAAATTTTAAACTAAGTTGGGATCATTACAACTCTTTCAGTAGGTAAAATCCTGGTAAATTTTCCTGGAGTCGAATCCTTGGCATGGGGGCCGCACCAAAGTTTGTAAAGAGTGAGACAGAGAGCAAGGCAGTTAAAGCACCAAAATGTGTGGCATGCGAGCAGATTTGTTGCCTTGCTGATCGAAACTATTGCGTTTTTTAAGTTCTCGATGCCGCCGCCATCGTCATTGCTGAATTTTCCTTACAAGACCTGCGCGTTCATTGGCCGATTTTATAGATCTCAATAATGCATTATGTTCTGGTTGGATACGTAAAACCAAATGGCCCCGGTTGTTCAAACATTGGATAGCGCTATCCACCGGATTATTAATTATCCAGCGGATAAGTTTTATGGAAGGCAATTGCGTTAGCTATTAGATAAAGATTTATCCATTGGATGGCACTATCCGCCTTTTCAACAGCTGGGGCATTGGGATTATATCAGGACAAGTTGTTCGTATTTGAGATGGAATGTTTTGTCCAAATCTTGGGGTGGAGAGAAGCGACAACCGGAATATGGCTGCGTTCACAGGCTACTGTATGAACGCCTATTTTGTCTGAAAACCTAATGAGTACCTTTCTTGCCCAGCGGTGTCCCAGAGCTGAAGTGCAATACATCTGCCTTCTAAATTCATGGTCTTGATTTGGAAGTCGACACCTGAAACAGAAAGCAATTAAAAATAAGGTCACAAGGTAAGGTTTGGCCTGAGAAAACAGCCGACATTTGGCGACGCTACCACTGGTTTCCCCGCCAAATGACGTTTGAGAAACGAGCACGGAAATTCCATACTGATGACGAGTCACTACCCAGACCTGGGTGGTGCTTTTGACTGGTTGAATCAATTTTCTCGCGCGGCACGACCAATCAGAAGCACTACCCAGATCTGGGTAGTGACGCGTCATCAGTATGGAATTTCTGCGCTCGTTTCTCAGACGTCATTTGGCGGGGAAACCAGTGGTAGCGTCGCCAATTATCGGCTGTTTTCTGAGGCTAGGTAAGGCTGGATGGTCTACGGCGAAGGCCAAATATCCGCCTGCTCAGTGCCCGACATTGCATTATACAGACCTCTCTCTCACATGGAAAGGTTTATAATATTCGTGGTGGGAAAGGTATGCCGAAAGGTTTTGTAATATTAATTTTCTTACTTAAACGCAGCATTCCCTTTTGAAAATCACGTGTAAACCTACAACACAAATCTTTTATAACACAACACCTAAGTTCTTTATGGATCAATTTAGGTTCTGGGAAACTGCCCACCCACCCCTCCCCTAAGCTAACATTAACACTTACTTCTCACTTAGGGCAGAAAGTTGACTTAGGCGAGGGGTTGGTGGTCAGTTTCCCAAAACCTAAATTGATCCTTCTTTATTAGCGATCATGCTTCACTTTCTGCTTTGGTGGACTGGCAAGAATACAAGAATGTTTGAGCTCTGGTCAAAAGACAAAAACCAGAAAATTCAAGCTTAAAAGTTGTAAATGATTTAGGAGAAGTTTTTTTATGCTCTGACGGTCAACTGTCAATAAAACAGGCCCATTTTAAGGGGGGGATTATAGTTGAAATTTGGGGGAATTGGGGTTGAATTGAGAATGAAAGAAGGAAGGATAGAAGAGGGTATACAGGTAAACCAGTTGGTCTGCTAATTGGCTCAGGGCCACCTTGTTCTGCTGGTGGACTGACTGGTGTTTTTCTATTAATTATTCACTTCAAATTTTAATTTTTAACTACCCTTAAATCCAATATTTCCCCATTTTCCATAACTTTTAACATTTGCCCTTTAAACTTTTATTGATTACAAATATCCTACAAAAAATTCTCAACCAAAAATTCTCAAAAACTGATCGTTCCAAGAACTTCAGGATGAGTGATTTATTTTTAAAATCGAATGACATTTTGACGACATTTTCAAGTAAAATTGCTCGGGTATAACAAAAAAAGGCGTTTAACTGTCATTCCCGCTTAAGTTTTTTCAAAGAAATACCTAATACTGGTGTTAAAGCTGAGAGTCCTTTTGTATTTGTTTACTTGCTTATTCTATTTACCTATGGTTGCGGTGAATGAGGGTTTCCATGTATCGTGACAAAACCGGTGAATAAAACTTGATTTGCCAACACCGGAGTCACCGACAAAAACCACTTTGAACACTCTCTCTGGAGTGGATGCTTCGCTAACGACTGACACACCAGCTTCACTCATATCCTGCTATAGGGTGCAAGATTAATACAAAAAATAAGTAATGTCAGCATCATATAAATTACGAGCGATACCTTTGTAAATGGACAGTACAAGTCATCGCGCGAAACTAAAGCTGAGTCAAATTTTCAGTCCCAAACTAAAATTGATCGGAAGAAGCAAGTAGATGACTGTGCAACCTCCTTCCCAGGTTTCTCAGGAGAAGTAGGAGGCTCCTCCTCGACCCCTGAGAGAACCCTGGAAATGAGGTTGAGGGGCCGTTGAAGGTAATACTGCCGTCTCATTGTAGACTAATAGGAAAAATCCCTTTTTTAAAACATTTTCACCTAGCATGTCACTATATGTCACCTAACATTACTATAAGTAACTACGACAGTGGTAAAAATCGTAAAACAACATGGCGGCAGGGAGAATGAGATCTGGAGTTTACCTTGCTGACCTTCTGTCCAGTAAAATTTAATTAAATGTTAGGCAGGGTAAAGCTTCAGTTCTACTTACGGATACTGTGCGACACATTTCGTTATCTTTGCCAACAGGAGCTGCACGTGGAGAGGAAGGCCTGTCATCAGATGCACTGCCATTCCCGTCACTTATGTCTTCAGTGGACAAAGACATGTCGGATTCTTCTCTAACTTCTTGTAATCTGCCGCGTGCTGGACCTACATAACCACATTAATAGGAAACAAAGAAAAGTGAAGCTTAAAAACAAGTGCAACCAATCCGGCCATAGAGTTTAATTTCCCTCTTATAATTAGAGTGCGATCTTAGGCTATGTCCACAGGAGTTCCTTTGAGTTTGTTTCTATTTTTGTTCACTAAATACGCGAGCGGCTGTGAGAAACGAGAGCTACCTCCCCGCTAACGCACTCACTTCTCGCGTGTTACGCGACAAACCCCCAGTAACTTTGAAAGAAGGGACGAGACAACCCGCAGTCTACTTCAGAATCCACGGGCGTTGATCGTTACTTGGTTCACATGTTGACAGAAGCTGTAAACACTTCCGTTTGTATACGCTTCACACAAATAAAAGGACTCCTGTGTACAAAAGTCTAACGTTATCACTCACTTGCACCGGATATTAACTCGGCTTTCCTTTTTCTAAACACATCCTCATCAAGTTCTTCATCACTAGCCTTCAACTGGCCTTCTTTGTCCTCGATCGCAGCTTCTGAAAGTATTTATTACGTTGTTTAATTGGGGTAGTCATGGAACAACGCTGTTACAACGACTGAAAAGTGAAAGACTTAATAGAACGCCAACCCCAAACCAAGTTCTCTTCGCCAGGCTTTCACTGACCATAACAGTGCGAAGTAAAATATGGCCTTTCACGGGAAAGCTACAGAGAAGTTCTGTCAATAGTAGAAAAAAAAGTGTTTAAATTACATTCAGTTGGCTGAAGTGATGCCCTTTGTGTTGGAAATGTCTCTTTCAGGCATTTCCATTCTAACTGGCCAAAAAAAAAGGCAGTCCGAAAAGAAGGGTCAAAAATATGTTTTTTTAGATACATGATGGCCATCGTCAAAAAGTGTTAAGAACGTTGCTAACCTTTAGGTTGAACGGCGAACAATATTTTTTTGGCCCATGCCGGTCTTTCCATTTCTTGCGCTTTCTCGTCCGATATAAGTTCTAGTGTAGGATCGCCCTCAAATTCGGCTTCTTCTCGAATAGAGTTTGGAAAAGACACAGACCTAAGGTTGAGAAAACAATTTTAATTCGTTAAAATCTTAGACTGCCACGCCTTCGTATAGTTATGACGTGAGTCGAACCCTTCCGTCCCGGCAATTTCACCACTAACACCCTTAATGTTAAACCTCTCGTAAGAAACGCAGACAACCTTTTCAGGTACGTAGACAATAACCTCTTATAAAATAGACAGTAAAACGAATTAACACTAAAATCCACCATAAAATGTCTTAAGGTCGTTAGGTGAAAAAAAAGTAACAAGTTGTAAGTGGTGTAGTTCTTTCATTATATTGAATAATTGTGTTAATAACCATNCCCTTAATGTTAAACCTCTCGTAAGAAACGCAGACAACCTTTTCAGGTACGTAGACAATAACCTCTTATAAAATAGACAGTAAAACGAATTAACACTAAAATCCACCATAAAATGTCTTAAGGTCGTTAGGTGAAAAAAAAGTAACAAGTTGTAAGTGGTGTAGTTCTTTCATTATATTGAATAATTGTGTTAATAACCATAACGTTTTTCGTCAAGGTACGCACAAGAAACTTCGAAATGTTCATCACTCGGGGGAGCTAGAGGGCTTGTAGTCTCCCTCGCAGCCGTTTTTTTGGATGTCACGCCACGTTGCGTGACATCCAAAAACGGCTGCGAGGGAGACAAGGGGGCTTGGGGATGTACTTAAAAAATGTTTTCACGGGAAGGCTTCGCCCAGAGGTCCTGTCTCTTTCCCTGTTATTATAGCAGTTTTAGATAACGTCTCCCTTTCGCTTATCCTGTATAGAAAAATGGTACTTTTTTGCATAACTCCTTATCAACACTACGTTGTTTTTCTACACTCTTGCAATGACGTTAGTGTGCGTCTGCTTATAATATTTTGAAGGGCCCTTTAAATACCTTAGTGACAGATTTTCCCTTATTCTTATTTACTGATAGTTGATTACTTTTTTATACTTAATGTTTGTTATTTATGTAAATGTTAATTTTATTTTCTATTTTTAATTGCGAACCCTTCTGTATAGCACTTCCCGATGTCGGCCTCTTCATTTAAAATTAGTTTTGTTCTGTTTGATTACTAAGATCGGCAATGTTCATAGAAGGCATTATCGTGAGAAATGGAATGCTGATCAAATTAACTCACCCTTCGTTGCTTTTTGAGCCAAAATAAGAGTACATAACGGAGCCTTGCTTCTTGATGTCACGCCGTTTAGAACGCCTTCTGGATGGAGCACTTTCACTTAAAACGGGTTTAAAACAGGTTGAAGAAAAGTTTAAGATGTACCGATATGAAATTATGAAGTTCAAATTTAAAGAAATCAGACAAGAAATATTAAATAGTACTGGATTAAACTACCTAAGACAGATCTTAAAAACGTTTAACGATACTTTTTAAGGGTTTTATTGAATGTAATAGTAATTTAATGAACTATGCCTTCACTACGAAAAAATTATTTTCATATATATACTCGAAAATATTTCTGTTCAGAGGTTAGGCTTATTTTCCCATTCATTAAAATTTTGTAACTACAAAATTATACCTGAAATTAAATTTTAAAAGATCTGATGTTCTAGCTTTTTCGCTACGACTTCCTTAACGTTCGAAACAGAACATGCTCATAAACTCAAGCAAGAGAGTTTAATGGTGCCCTTTTAGCTGAGGGCTGGGAGACTCTAATCACCACCTCCCGCTAACTACCAATACTTGTTGACATCCTGTAGTATTCAGTTTCGGCACTGGAACATTTTCACGACCTCGTTAAAACACAACGAGGGATAGGGGTGGGGAAGAAATAAATTCTGGAAGCAAGAACGTCCTCATTGAAGACTAGTGCTACTGGGGACCTTAAGATACACCCTTTCTGCCGAAGGGTTAGATTCGGGGAACATGGTCGCAATGTGTGTATGTTAAACAGGACCAAGTTTTCCCAAATGTTACATTAACTCTACCCGGTAGATTGGTAAAATTATCCGTACCCGCGCAGTGAAACTCGTGTAACATAATTGCTTCAACGCTCTCCTATCTGTCTCCGAGAACTCAAGGCTGTGGGCATCTCTTAAACTTTTCTTCCACTCGCGAGCGGCGAGGTGCGGAAGACACAAGAGACGAAGGGACGCCATCAAGTTCTGCCACTGACTTTTTCACGAAAGAAGAAGACTCCGAATCTGACTTTACTATACGGATCTCCCACAAAAATAACACCAACCCCTTAAACCCCCCCCGCCACCTTACACAACCACACACACCTTTTATCAACCACAGTCGGCGAAAAAAAAAAAGACATAAATAACATCTTGACCTCCAACAAACCTTCTATCATTAGGCCCATCAATGTCATCTCCGCTGAGCGATTCCACTGATCCCTGGTGGCCCCATGTATCTTCGGCGCCAGGGCTGCGTCTTTTCTTTATGTACTTGGACATCTGCGAGCCCTGCCGAGGCACTTTGGTCTTATTCTATAAAGATACGGTCATAAAGCGCAACTAAATAGGAAGAAATCGCCCAAAACTTTTACACCTAGCCTCCTGTGAACGATCCTTTTGTTAAATACATAACATTCTTCTTGGTCTCATAGTGAAAAAACTGTGAACAAACGAAAGGTACTAAACAGTATTTGTTCATGGTAATTGTTTATGCCAACGATGAAAATGGCGCCGTTGATAACGTCCTCGGGTGTGACCGTTCACAATTGACCAAGCGATGATCGGAATGATTCTATGAAAGTTGTTTAACTGAATGAGTTCAATTTCCGGGGGGTGTACTATTCTGTGATGCTAGAACTAATTTTCTACAGGCTTGTGACTACAATGGAGGTCAAAAGAGTTAGAACAATCAACGTAAATCGGTAGGATTCTCTCTCCTTCCTTCCTCAAAAAATATTGAATTTCTACGAAGACGGGTGCAAATAGAATTTTTTTGGGAACATTTCTGGGAACGAGGGAAGGGCCTGATACCGATCAAAAAAATTGTTATCAGGAGATAAGGCCCAAGATAATAATCATTTGAAAGCCTTTTCGACCTCCATTGAAGAGTCTTTATGAGTAACGAGACAATATAGAGAACATTGCCTAATTTCAAACCGAGGGGGACTGTGTATGAGACCGTGTATTGTGAGATCGTTATTATCGGAGCCACGCAATAAATACGAGCACGCCTAGCCTCCGCCGCAGGCTTCACTGTCCTGTTTTAGAGAACGAGTGGGAAAATGGGGAGAGAACGGAGAGTGCAAAAGAGATGCCTGCCAAATATCGACAAGGTGATGACTTTCTGCGCATGTTGGCTCGCGCATACAAATCCAATTTGTGTAGGGGAGAGTGGGGGGATTTTGAGACACAAAAACCATTGACTCTCGCCTTCGGTTGGAAATTAAGCAATTTTGATTCATTTTTCGAAAAATTACGTACGGGGAAAAAAGTACGAAAGAGGTACAACAGATACAGGGGTAAGGACAGAGGTGAAAAAGGAACTCAGAACAATTAGTTGATTTTTATATGTTTTAATTCTTTTCTTTTTTTGCGTCGTTTATTAATGCTGAAACTTATACAATATAATGCATTATGGAGGTCAGACTTCCATGGATTACAGCATCAAACATTAGAACTAAAAGTTTCTTTTAGGTTTATGTTTGTTACTTTAGCCTTTGTGATTTGCAAACTTTTAAAGGCAGTAAGCATAACAACATAGCAATATAACTTTAGATGATTTACAGAGGTGTTACTCGTTTGCTTTCATTTATTTATTTAGTTAGTTTATACTGAATTTCTTACCTCGGCCTCTTCAATTTCATCACTAAGACTGCCATATCCTCTTTCTCTTTTCTGTTTAATAAGTAGCATTTANCCTAGCCTCCGCCGCAGGCTTCACTGTCCTGTTTTAGAGAACGAGTGGGAAAATGGGGAGAGAACGGAGAGTGCAAAAGAGATGCCTGCCAAATATCGACAAGGTGATGACTTTCTGCGCATGTTGGCTCGCGCATACAAATCCAATTTGTGTAGGGGAGAGTGGGGGGATTTTGAGACACAAAAACCATTGACTCTCGCCTTCGGTTGGAAATTAAGCAATTTTGATTCATTTTTCGAAAAATTACGTACGGGAAAAAAGTACGAAAGAGGTACAACAGATACAGGGGTAAGGACAGAGGTGAAAAAGGAACTCAGAACAATTAGTTGATTTTTATATGTTTTAATTCTTTTCTTTTTTGTGTCGTTTATTAATGCTGAAACTTATACAATATAATGCATTATGGAGGTCAGACTTCCATGGATTACAGCATCAAACATTAGAACTAAAAGTTTCTTTTAGGTTTATGTTTGTTACTTTAGCCTTTGTGATTTGCAAACTTTTAAAGGCAGTAAGCATAACAACATAGCAATATAACTTTAGATGATTTACAGAGGTGTTACTCGTTTGCTTTCATTTATTTATTTAGTTAGTTTATACTGAATTTCTTACCTCGGCCTCTTCAATTTCATCACTAAGACTGCCATATCCTCTTTCTCTTTTCTGTTTAATAAGTAGCATTTATGACATCATTTACTTTAAATCATGATGTGCGTGAACGAATTTCTCCCTATATGTTAGTTAAAGTTATCGCTTATTGACTGTCTTTTATCCTTGGAATTTGCTAACATTATTATTTTTCTTTTTACGGTTCCCTAGGGATCCCTAGCTCGTAGGCCCCTTTACAAAATTAACAAACTACAACGCCATATTTCTCCACAGTTGATCCTTACACACATTTTAATCAACCAGCAAATCAAGAGAATAAACAAAGAACATCAAAAATATCGTTAAAATGATGGTCGATTAGAATTATACGGGGTTTATTTGACATTAAAATTCAATCGATGTTTCAAATGATTTGGACACCATAACATCAGGGTTAGACGTTGGGTTTAAAACAACTTGAAATAACCGTTTTTAAGTGTTATTTTTTAAGCAAGAACGTAATTCTCAACGTTTATACGGTATATTAATTATTAAGATAATTTTAACGCGCGTTACATTGCCTCATGCCAGATATCAGTTTAGAAAGTACAATTATCCACCGCCACCATGATTTCTTTTCACAACAGAAAGAAAGTCGAGACAAAAACGAAACGATCAGAAATAAAACGTAAAATATTAAAAAATTTTGTTAATTGAAAAATCTGTCAGCCAAGTCTAGGCTCATCATCTCTTTGTGTCCCATCGATGAATTTAGTTGCAAATTAACAAGGAATTAGCTTTTATTTGTCAGTTTATTATAGGGTCAAGTTCTTTTATTCAGCGTGAGTTTTTCATGTTAAACTAAAGTCTTACGGTAGCTGTTAAGATTAATAAAAGGTTAAGGAAGGAAAAAAATAACAATTAAAAAACAAAGAAAACAAAACAAAATCAAATACATACAGCCATTAACATCTGAGGAGAATCCACAGGTGAATCCCGCACATGCGCAGTAAGCATTGGCAAAAACAAGTCAGTTAGTTAAAAGGAATTATTATTATTAGCATGTATTCACCAGTCTTTGTTTAAGTGACATCTGTGCTTTTACAACGACAGTCTGGGTTGGAAAAGCTCTCGGTTCACCGCTGATTTTAAACCAAAATGAAAGTAATTACCAGGACCAATCACAGCCTACGATAAACGTCTAGTGAACTAACAGAACTCATGATAAGAAAATGTAGCAAGTGAAAAGCGCGGGAACTTGACGTTAAAAGTTGTAGCAGGTAAAAAGCGCGGGAACTCGATGCATGAAAATGTAGCAAGTACAAAGCGCGGGAAGCCGACGTATGAAAATGAAGCAGGAAAAAAGAGCGAGAACTCAACGCGAGACAACGCACCAAGTGAAAAACTCGACATAAGAATACGTAGCACGTGAAAATCGTGGGAAGCCGACGTAAGAACAGGTAGAAGGGGAAAGGCACGAGAACTCGACGTAAGAATACGTGGAAGGGGAAAAGCGCGGGAGCGTGACGTAAAAGAATGTACCGGGTGAATAGCGCGGAAAAACACAACTAGTTTTGGGCTTTTTTCTGATAGATCGCTAAAACAAGTAAGATTTTCTTCAAACTGTTTCATCAAACTGGTCTTATTTAAGGCAAAGTTCAGGACTTCCGTGAAAACGCAAAGAAACTTTACTAAGATTGTCGAAACGTCAGTCACAGTCAACAACAACAGTCCTATTCAGGACTAAGTTCACCTGGACGATCAAACTCAACCTACTCTTGAAATGACTCCTGGGTTCAAACCTTTCACAGCTTTACTAAAAAGATAGCGTACCTTTGTTGCTCTCCGTTCGTGACTGATTCTTTTGTTTCGCCATTTTACCGCAGTTTAATTTTAGCAATTTTACCGAGATTAATTTGCCTTGTTCACAAAGCCAGTTTACCAACAAATACAGTCATTGTAAAAGCACACACAACGGCACCAAACAAAGAATGGTATCAGGTTAAATAGAATTCATTCAAAGAGCAAATCTTTTCCAACGAAAAACTAGGTTAGTTGCTAAAAGATGACTGGATCAGCTTAATTGTCGGACACGTTGTTTATAATTTAAGTCTGTTTCAGTGAGCATCAGATCGAGGCACTCCCCCGCCTCAAATATATTATGGTAATTCTACAAACTTCAAAATATGGGATCTCTCTCCGGATAGTTCGAATTCAATCTACAAAAGATTTTCAGAGGAATTTACTAATCCATAATTCCAATGATGAAAAATAACAATACATACAGCCTACACCAAGAGGCATGAAAGCACAAAAAGCGACGTTAACTCTTGATCATACCTTATTTATGAAAGGTTGCGAGGAAGGGAAAATACAAGTTGAATGTACAAAGTAAAGTAAAGTCGAACGTGGATCAGTGAAATGGATACAGATAAACATTTTTAACACATCGTAATCCAATCAGAATAATTTGACAGCTGTAAAATAACGGCCTGGCTAAGCGCGGAAACGCTGTTGCGGAATAATAATTTCTTCTAAAAGTGGAAAACGCCTATTTCGAAAGAAACTTGCGCGCGGAAGCACGCGGCAAGTTAGGGGCCTGTGTTTGTGTGGCTACAAAGGGAAACAATGGCTACCGCAACAGTGTTTCCGAGCTTACGTAGGCCTTAACCTTAACCCTAACTCTTTCGCTCCTAAAAACGCCCAAATAAAAATTCACACAAAATTAAATAATTTCAGTTTGTAAAGAGCAACTGGTTTATCAAGTTTTTCACTACATTTAATCTGCTTTAAGATAACTCACCGCTTGATGCGCGGCTTCAATGGCGTCCTTGTCATCTCTGAGTCTCTGATTCATATCCCTTGAAAGAAATCAACAATAACGTTTTTAAGGCGTTACTTACAGTAGGAGGACATGACAAGGGCCACATGGAAATCCACATTCTTCGCATTATGGACTTGCGAATCGTGTGATTTATTGTGTTCGTGTTTTTTGCTCAAGGCTGTTTTACTTCGTTTGTTCAGTACGATTTGACACTGACGAATTTAACCCTGAAGATTCTCGTTTTGGAACTGAACCAACGTTTTCTACGAACAAACAAGCGCTAACGCGCACTATAAATGGTTGCCATGCAATGTAAAATAGCCCGTAAACGTTTCACGCAAGATATCAATCACGATAAGGACTTTTTCATCTGACATCTAAACATAGAGGTGGGTTAAACAAGTGAAGAACAGCCGAGTTTTTCAGATGTTTGAAAAACGGATGAAAACACCCTTTTGAGTCCTTGATACAGGATCACAAATTAATAGTAAAAGGTCATAGATTTTTCTCACGTAATGAGTTGGAGAAGGGTATTATTAAAGAATAAGCCAAAAAAAACATACTGACATAAAAATATACAACAAACCCAAATAGGGCGATCCGGATTTACACTGTTACATTTCCCTCCACACTTAGGTTTACTGCAACCTCTTTCTGACCAACTAACTCATACTGATTACGCGCCAAAAAATCAGTATGTGACAGCAGAAAGCTGTGGGAACTGTCCATCACAAAGAAAGTTGTATCAAACCGATTTTGACTCAAGTTGAACCACAGCAAATTTAGAAAACAGATTATCCGAGAAACTATCTTCTTGAGGACGTTCCGCGTGTCCCTACCTTAGCATGTCCAGCTGCTTTATAAGACTAGCTTGCTCCTTCTGCATTCCCTCTGATACTCGCATCGCAGCCCTAGAACGGGAGAGTTGTTATCAATTACAAAGAGCAATCAAATAAGCCCAAGGTAAACTAGGATGAGTCTCTTTTCCCCCTCAAAGTCACAACAAAACTGGAAACGAAATCTCTGTTTTAAGCTTTTCAGTCTTCTCGCCTACATTTCAACGCGCACATGTTTAGTTGACATTACCTTTTCACTTTTCACACAAAATTCTTAATCTTCAAACGAATGATTGTTTGAGCTACAGCACCCACTGGACTGCTGCCTCGACAGGACGCTGGTTTCGTGAACGAAATAGACTTTGAGAAAAGCAATGCAATTACAATTCCACACCAACTGCAATCGAAGAATTGAGCAACCAGGCAAAGTACGTTTGCTTTTATTTTCACTAACTGTACGAGGAGGAGCTAGCTACCCCTATTAAACACGACCACGCCCTTTCACTAGGAAAGGTTGCTGTTCCCAATTTTTTGCCAGTAACTGGTTTGCACAAGCCTCAGCTGAAGGCTGGAAGATTTCGTCGAACCTATTTTCAGTCACCGCTTCTTTACTGCACCAGAGAAGTCAAAATTGAGAAACTGCGAAACGAAATCTGATACGGGAGTACCAGTAACTACAAAATTGAAAACAAAAAAAACCGAAATACCGGTTCTGAGGATCACTCGCTGCCTGTGGACAAACGCTTTCGTTTTCATGTTCGTCAACGAAATTCCCACAGTGGCACATCTCGACTTGGCAACCTCTCTCAGCGACATTGGGTGAAAAAGCTAAATATGCTGAATGGGAGTCTGATTTATCTGTTGCAGACTGATCACAAGACAGAAATTCAATAGAAGGCACTTCGTCTGCTTCAGGACTCTTTCCATATGTACTAGGACGAGGTGCGGTATGGAAAGGACTCATTTCTGAGGGGCCAAATGGCCTGAAAATCGATTCCGACTCCGCATCGTTGGAGTTTTCAACGTCTTGGATGCGTTTCAGTTGATTAACGAGCATTATTAGGTCATCTAGAGAATACGGCACCGTCTGGCACTCTTTGTTATGATAAATGTCATTTGAAATCCAGTCTGACGTCTGACTAAACTTTGAAAACGAGACGAGAAGCTGGGTATCAGGAAGCGTTTGGCTCTCTGTCGCCTTGCTTTCTGTCTTCTGATGATCTATGGACCGAAGCTTTTTAACGCACGAAATATCTTGACCTAGTTGAATGGGCGCTACTAACGCTTGAACTTCAATATTTGGTTGTATTCCTTTAATATCATAAACAACAGACTGGTGTGACTCAACCAATGTGTTGGCATCACCAGGGACCAAATCTGGCATTTTCTGTGACTCTTCAGACTGTATTAATGGGGTAGTGAGATCCACGATTGCTTGACAATCTTTGCTGCTGTAGGATTTTCTAGGTTCCTCTGCCCTCGTCACCTTTTCATCAGATATAAACGACCATGATACAGACTGACATTCGTTTGAAGCTAAATGGAGGTCAATGCCAGGATCTGTTT